GATATTGTGGAAGGCTAGGGCCATGGCCTGTGCAGTCGGAGGGTTGTGATGCACCTACAGGTTGAAATAAAAAACTGCCCCAAGTGCCTTCATGCGCTGTGCCTTCCAAACAATGGCGGAGCATCCCGAGGCCCTTGAGACGGTGGCCATTCCAGCGACACAACAGCCCAACCTCTCCGTGCGGGATGGGCCGGAAGAAGAGTAGCAGTCAGAGAACATATGCCGGGCGGCCACTGCTGTTGGTGAACATCCAAACAATGCTGTTGGTGAACATCCAAACAACGCATTATACACATATAAAATGCCAAATCAAGTGTGTGTATGTATATATATATATTATATTTGTATATATGTGGTGGTGAAAAGTGGCTGAGGGTGGGGCACAAAGTCTGGCACCAGTGCTGGTGGCCAGAACCAAGTGTAAATCAACTGGTTCCAGCTCAGCCAATTTTGCTGCCACAACCTTGCAATGTAGTCATGTTTTTGAACAAAAAACAACTCAGCTGGATGACACGGGACACGATCGGAATCGATCGGATAGCTTAGCAACCAGCAGCATGGAAAACCTTAAAGGACGAGATGGAAACAAACTGAGACGAACAGCTCCGTCAACTTAGCAGTCTGACTGTGCTGCAAATGCAAAATGGAGCACAGAAACCTTAGGTGGCTAAGCTGTACAAAACATATCCAAACATCCTCCAATCTGGATGCTGTCTGAGTATAGCACTGTGGGCCAATGGCCAGCAGCCATGCCAAAGCACAAAAACACCTCGCAGCTTTCAGCCCTGCATCCGTAGCTACTCAGCAACGGATGGAGGGCGAAGGCATCTGAGATACCAACAAGCATTGTCTGGCAGAAGTTGTCCTGCGAACAGCAGCTCCGGTCATTCAAACATGGAAACCCTGAGAAAATGAGCAAATGCAATTGGGACTAAAAGCAAACATGAATTCCGTTGCCACAACGATCCTTCAGCTTACCAAACGTTGCAATCCAGGGGTGCCCGACCGTGCTCCAATCCCCAGGCGCCCAGCTAGGTGCCGAGCTTTAGGAGCAACAGTCGCAGCCAGGGATAGAGAAACCTGAGTTTGACTGTCGGTGTGAAAACGCAAATGAAGTCACATCTTGCAGCCCAGTGGCCAGCACGGCAACAGAGAAACCACAAACCACGATGGCATATTTGGACCTGCAAAAAAATGCGTAGGCCAGAACCATCATGTCTATCTTGGTGCAGAACACTAGGGCGCTGACAGTTTGGTGTTGGATCAATCCACGTCTTCATGAGGAAGAAGCAGCTGGGGAATCACAATGCCAAATACTACAAAACCATACAAAACCCACATGCAATCCCAAAAGCGGATGTCCTTGTATGACAAGAAAACCGGAAGCCAAATGTTTCAGGGCGCAGTGAGCAAACAAAGCCGCCATACAATTGCGCGCGCAATCCAAATGGTTTCGGGGCATGAACAGGAGTCGTGTGATTGTAGCGCCTATGTAGGTATCCGCCTCGTCTGCTAGCTTCAATCCAAGAGTTGCGTTACCGCCAAGAGCAATACTGGAAAAACAGCCCTCCACCTAAAAATGGATCATCAATGCTCTTTTGGTGTTTTTGTCGGCGGCTTCCGGTCGTAGTTGCAAGAAGTGGGAGTGCGATGTCAGCATGTCTGTCGTGATCCCTGTTGCGCGAGGTTTGAACACGAACGATTTTCCAGGAAAATTGAACAGTTGGTTCCGTTCCCTCAGTCCGACTGGACTGAAGCACTGTGCTGCCCTTGCCAATTGCTTCAATCTATTGAATCTATTGAACACAAGACTTCCACAGATTTCCACAGTACTTAACGCACTTTGGTTGAGGAGGCAGGTACAACAGTTACAACCACTTGTAAGACCATTGAAAAATGGAAAAAACTGCTCGGAAGGGACACTGCAACTTCAAAGAATGCCCAAGGGCTCACACACACACACGAAATTGCTGAAGCCTTCATGAACAAATGCCGGAAGAAAATTGCCAAATACAAAATGCAAACCTGTACGTCTGCAAGTTGCATGTGCACAAGGAAGCAGAAGACCAGACTCACTTGCTGGTTTGCTACACCAGGGCGCCTTAATGTCTTTGGCGTGCACACTTCAAAGCCGCCAAGTCTTAGATGGCAGACAGGAACTGAAACGCCAAAAATTGCTCATATTGACTAGACCTCACATCTATGAACTACTCGGCTTGAGAGTATACATAGGGCCTTTACAATTGCGTAAGGGCGCACAGAGTCATGCCAACATAGGTGGCCTTGGTGCCACATATAGCACATGCACGTACACAAACGGAATATCATTTGCACACCAATGACTCTAATTGTTATATGCCTTGACGCGGGGCTTTGATCCCGATGTTACATGGAAGAAACATGAAGAAACCTGGCTCAAAAGCTTTAGAGCCATCGGGATGTCAAGGCAGTCCATGGGTGGTGTATGGTGGCGTACTAGCTGCTACTAGCTGTTGCACTCAACGGCATCTCAAAAGACTGAGGCAACCTCCAGAAGACATCGGAAAATCCGTCGGGTAAAGTACGCAAAGAAAGACCCACAGGAAGCAAGAATGTCCTCAAGCACTGGACTTCCCGGTCATCAAACCATACTACCCATATTGAACCCACATGCGAAGCTTGGGTATGTTGGATCCAATTCATCCAAATGCATGGTCGAAACAGGTCAAAGAGATGCAAAACACAAAGTGCAAAGCGGTCGCTGGGCATTGTCGACATTGTCTACATGAACCCCTTGAATTCAATTGGTTCCTTGTCTTTGTGAAGGTGGTGTGTCAGAAAGCCAGAAAGAAGGATGAAGAACTCCACGCCGACCTGGTGTCTTTGCAACTCACCCAGTCAAGGTTGGATTGGAATCTGACAGCTGATTTATTCTATTTGCTTCTGATTTCAGGCCAAGGACGAATGACTACATGAATGAGGTTCCGACATCCACTCCTAGAGTCAAGCATCATGAAGAGCATCAGAAAGTTGAAAACCATGACGATAAAAGGACCCATATGATTCCAACATGTACTGAAGACTTTCCAGGAACTTGACATGGCAAAACGCTTGCCAAGCCCATGGCTTACCATCATTGCATCGAGACAGGATGTCGGTTCTCTAGGTGCCATGTGATGGCATCTCAGTGCAAGACCATGCAAGACCCCAATCCAAAGTTATGTCAAGTTAGGATTATGAATCTACTAGAGATTAAGCAACCACCACGCCGGAAAAATGGTTTGGCAATACTAAAATGCGTTGGTCCCCCCCTGATTAACCAATGAGGGGGGAATCACCCGATTAATCAACAGCCACACAAGACACAAGAAATCCTTTATTTTTTTGGGGGGGTTGTCGCATGCAGTCACATGCTTTGAACACCGATCCTTTCAAGTCTCACACAGAGCTTTGACTCTGACAAACCTCTGGCAGAGATTCCCCCATAAGGTTCTGTTGGCTCAGCACGCACTACAATCATACGAGTTGAGTAATTAAGATTAATTAAGTACTTTGTTGCATTGGCACCAGCCTTTTTGTGACTTTGCAGTCACAGGCTTGCAAGATTGCAGTCACAGACTTGTGACTTGTGACTTTGCAGTCACAAACGTGTGACTTTGCAATCAGTCTGAGTCTTTCAGTCTTGGTTGAAACTAAATTCTTGGGAAAAATTCAAAAAAACCCAAATGGTCAATTTCTTGATGAGAACCCATTCAAAACCAATCATAAACCATCACTTTGAGAAGCTCCGAAAAGGTACCCCTCATGAGCCCACGTTCCACCCAAATAGTAGGCAAGGTTTACACTGATTAATCAACCCCCCTTGGCCCCTTTAGATTTCTTTTAGGTTTAAAAGGAAAATCAATTGAACGTATATATAGATTGATATCGATTGAAATCCTTACTCATCTTGAGATTTCTTCTAGGTTTAAAAGGAAAATGAATTGAAAGTAGATTGATATAAATTGAAACCCTTCCTAATCTTGAGAATTCTTCTAGGTTTAAAAGGAAAATCAATTGCAAGTAGATTGACATCCATTGAAATCCTCACTAATCTTGAGATTTCTTCTAGGTTTAAAAGTAAAATCAATTGAAAGTAGATTGATATCATTTGAAACCCTTCCTAATCTTGAGAACTCTTCTAGGTTTAAAAGGAAAATCAATTGAAAGTAGATTGATATCAATTGAAACTCTTCCTAATCTTGAGAATTCTTCTAGGTTTTAAAGGAAAATCAATTGAAAGTAGATTGATATCAATTGAAACTCTTCCTAATCTTGAGAATTCTTCTAGGTTTAAAAGGAAAATCAATTGAAATTAGATTGATATCAATTGAAACCCTTCCTAACCTTGAGAATTCTTCTAGGTTTTAAAGGAAAATCAATTGAAAGTAGATTGATATCAATTGAAACCCTTCCTAATCTTGAGAATTCTTCTAGGTTTAAAGGAAAATCAATTGAAATTAGATTGATATCAATTGAAACCCTTCCTAATCTTGAGAATTCTTCTAGGTTTGAAAGGAAAATCAATTGAAAGTAGATTGACATCAATTGAAACCCTTCCTAATCTTGAGATTTCTTCTAGGTTTAAAAGGAATATCAATTGAAAGTAGATTGATATCAATTGAAGCCCTTCCTAATCTTGAGAATTCTTCTAGGCTTAAAAGGAAAATCAGTTGAAAGTAGATTGATATCAATTGAAACCTTTCCTAATCTTGAGAATTCTTCTAGGTTTTAAAGGAAAATCAATTGAAAGTGAATTGATACAGTATCAATTGAAGCCCTTCCTAATCTTGAGAATTCTTCTAGGTTTAAAAGGAATATCAATTGAAAGTAGATTGATATCAATTGAACCCCTTCCTAACCTTGAGAATTCTTCTAGGTTTAAAAGGAAAATCAATTGAAAGTAGATTGATATCAATTGAAACCCTTCCTAATCTTGAGAATTCTTCTAGGTTTAAAAGGAAAATCAATTGAAATTAGATTGATATCAATTGAAACCCTTCCTAATCTTGAGAATTCTTCTAGGTTTAAAAGGAAAATCAATTGAAAGTAGATTGATATCAGTTGAAACCCTTCCCAATCTTGAGATTTTTTCTAGGTTTAAAGGAAAATCAATTGAAAGTAGATTGATATCAATCGAACCCCTTCCCAATCTTGAGAATTCTTCTAGGTTTAAAAGGAAAATCAATTGAAAATTGAAAGTAGATTGAACCCCTTCCTAATCTTGAGAATTCTTCTAATTCTAGGGTTAAAAAGGACGATCACTTGAAAGTAGATTGATATCATTTGAAACCCTTCCTAATCTTGAGAATTCTTCTAGGTTTAAAAGGAAAATCAATTGAAAGATATTGAACGTAGATTGATATAAATTCGAAGTTGATCCGTCATGACTTCAACTTACGAGGTCGATTATTTACGGGTTGAACCTTAGCAGAACCTTCTCCCTAGGTACCTACCTTCCGGGGGGGTTATTAATCCTAACTTGACATTAATCAAATCTGATCAACATAGAAATGATTAGAAATGCGAATGCGCTGCCATGCTTGTTGGTAACAACATGCTCGATCATGCTGGTGCACAAGCAATAACACATCATACAACTCAGCACAGTAAGTCTCAGTGCACAAGTAATACCACATCATGCAACTCAGCACAGCAAGTCTCAGTGCAAGACACAATCCACACAGCAAACAGCGTTCGGGCACCATCAAGATGAGACCTGTACTGTAATTGAAAACCGTTACACATGAGAATGCAGGAATACTTGCGAGAGAAAAAGGGGCCAGGGTCATGGGTCATGGAACGGCATCTCCAAAAAACCAGCTAGCCGGACCGTCCACCCTTGAACGCGCACACACACACAAACACACATACACACACACATGCACAGAGACACAGACACAAAGCATGGATCACTCAAGTGAGTCCCTCATGCATAGGCATGGCAAACACCGCCAGGCTATTCGTTGTTTGGTTTAGCCGGATGCCATGTCCAACGAATAAAAATGATAATCAAAATATAAACTGATGAAACACACCTGATGACAAGCAACATGAGCGACAAGGGAACAACTAGTTCAACCACACGCGATCACACGCGAACTTCTTAATACAAACCAATTAGATCAAATTAGCTAGGGTATCCCCCAGCTGCGTCGTATGTGCACCAGTGTGCGCCCAGGGGGGATACCCCAACCTGTACACAGATGGAAGTATGGAAGTCACTGGAAGTCTACCGTGTGCCAGGATCTCTCTTTTTTTTCCCTCTCTCTCTCTCTCTATCTTCCCTCAGAATCGCACAAGCGCTGCGCTGGTGCCTTAGAAGGAAATGAGATGGAAGGAATGTTCACAAAGCTCTGAGGGCCAACACTTCTCCACGTGATTCCGCCTGTGAAAACCGTTTAAAAGCGTTAGAGCAACGGAAGTATTAGATCCAACAATGAGTGAGCCTCCATCAAAACGTGACAAAACCGTACCAGCACAAAGTAGTAGAACCAGCTGAAGAACAAAACCGGCTGTTGCTTCTTGGCTTCTTACTTCCCTATTTCGAAACTATCAGGGATAACGTGCTTGGAATAGAGCTACAGGACTTGAGCATGCTCGAGCACTTGTATGCGTTGGCTACTTTGAAAGCACTGTAACTGACAGTGGGGATACATTAGGAGAAACAAAGCAGGAGAAGCCCTGAAAGAACCCCAGCAACTCGTTGATTCCCAGGAGCTTCGCTGTGCCTTGGGTTGCGGCTGACTGTTGCCATGAAAAGCATGCAGGTCAATACCCTTCAATGGCATCGTTTTCCAATGTTTTCCACACAGCTTTGCCAGCTCAAGCCAAATCCATGAGAATCCAAACTCGTTTCGATCTCGTTTCGATCTTGATGATCTGATATAGTCTGATATGGTCTGAGAGTCTGATATTGTGTCTGAAATTCTCAGCTTCGATGGTAAGGATTGCTCAGATCTGAGGGCACGGCCCCATGGTGCTTTAGCATCCAGCCATTTACTCTCAAATGCTGGAGTGGGTTTGATATCTTTTGATATCTTTTGATGATCGGTTGCTTATAAAACAAGCTTTTGGACTCCTGAGCTTCTTCGTCAGCTGCCCTGTCAGCCCGGCCGATTGTTCAATCCCACATTCCACTGTTCATAGTTCTCTTTGTTCTAAGTCATCTCTGCCCGCAACAGTGTGGCTACATCTGATTGATAAGCATGCAAGTTCCGAAGAGGCAACAAATCAGTACAAATGCAGCGAGACGTGCATGAAAGCATGTTCATCACTAGCAAGTGCATAGCTGTGTAGCTCTTTTTGTGCTAGAGCGCAATGCAGATTCCAAGGCTTACTGCAATTTCAAGCAAAAGCTTGGTAAACTGCTCGATGACCTAATCATACTTAGACAATCTGCTAGACAGTATGCTAAAGGATCTTAGGCAAACGATTGCGCAAATGATTGCTGCATCCTGGCAGGATTGCCACTGCCATCCGGCTGGTGTGAACGTGTCACCAGCCGCACACCTCAGTGAAGGCCATGCAGCAGACTCAGCAGACCCAATTGATTCCACGTGTGCTGCAGAAAATGCTCCCAGTATGGCACTTTGTTAGTATGATTGAACCGTATACAATGCGAATTCATCCAAAATTCTACACATAGATAGCTAGATAGCCCTTGAAAAGCCTGAGGCTTCAAAGTTCACCAACTGCTTGTGAATCTCTTGAGAATGGGGGGCTGGCTGCTTTACTTTCGAACAATCCACCTAATTAACAGCTGTACACACAGGCACGTCCATGCATGCTGTTCCACAACCTACCGTATCCCGTGGTTCATTTCCACAACCTTCATCCACAATACGGCGCTGAAAAAAATATCGCGCTGAGTTGCGTAGTAGTTCCTCAGATGCACCGAATAGGATCAAACCCACAGACACAGACACACACACACACACCCACACACCCCGACACTCCTGCCTGAGACGGTTTTCACATAGGTCAGTCACTACTACTCCATCCAAACATCCATACGCCCACCAACGTGCCCATCCATCCAGATTCAAAAAAGATGAAAGGCGGGAAACAAAGGATGCAAACTCAAACCACTAACAGTAACAATCGCGCTATGCAAAAACAACGTCATGAAATTGTCTAGTTCTGCGGGGGAGATTGTGACCGGGCTCTGTACCCCCGCCTTCATATTCACTCAGCGCTCCAAAATGAAGATCAACATATTTAACATATCTTCCATGGCCTCAACCTCAAATTTCGCCTAGGCTCTTGAAGAACTTGCCGCGCAAAAGCCACGTGGGATCCTTTAGATGGCTAAAAAGAGGATCCAGCACCCGAGCTGCTCCATCCTGCACAAAACTGGACAACCAGGTTCTATGCAGGGGGCGACTCATAAGTGAACAAGATTGAACAAGGAGGCTCGTGTACGCTCCGACCGCTGCCACAATTTCGTCCTCTTCATCCAAAGGGGGCCCAATCCAAGTTTCATGTGTGGCAGCCACGGTGCCCACACCATCAGGAGCCATATCTGTGACCCATCCTGTGTCCACCTGATTGCATTTAGTTTCAGGCGCAACTGGATAGCCAAGTGTAAAGGAAGCCTCCGGAATACAACTGCAAGCACTGACATACATACCCGCATAAATAAACCATACCACACCCTACTATAGCCATAGCCTTCAAGGCAATGCACTACATTGCAATTGTACTACCAGTACCTGATGTTCACTACCTCATATACTTACATCACATGGATACACCGCATTGCAATGAATTCCACTACTATACATCACATACTTTCTCATGGCGTCCCGTTACATCTTTTTGCAATGTGGTTTGAGGTATTGGTTGTCATTGTGTTGAATATCATTATCCTGTTGTTTGAGGAAGTTCTGGTCATCTGTGCCGCGTTAGAGAAATGTTTCCCTGTCGGATTTTGCCCCGCGTGGCCTTTGCCAATCAGGTTTCCAGAAAATGGTAATGCGTACACCCATATGTACATATATATATATACACACATGTGAGAGTGTGTGTGTGTGAACCATCTGAACAGATGTAAAACTTCTACCTTGATTGGCGGAATTGTTTTTCCTTATCAGGTTCTTTGCCATGAGTATTTTACCAGGCGTTTATCCAATCTCCTTTTCATTTGCAGGGGGTGGTAGCAGGGTCCAGAGTCTACCACCAACGAAGACACTCTGGTTTCCCTGGTGATACATGGCCTGATCAGCCATGCGTACCTGCATTTCCAGTTTTCGTCAATGGCGACCGGCTAAGCCAAGTACCGACATGTCGTTTTAAAACCTTTTCAAACCAAACAACTGTACGGTTTTCGCAATCTGACTGAGCTGCATCAGAACTGGTAAATCCTTCGAGCAAGGACGTAGAAAGATTTCCTGCGCACAGTTTCTCACTTCCAACCATTTAACCTTTCCTGTCAGGTTTTACTGAAGTGTTTTTGCACGTGTGATGCATTCCACATCAGTAATTCGATAAGATATTTCTGAGCAAGTGTGTGACTCATGCCGGATCCGTCAAGGTGGTATGAGCCCTTCGGGGAAAGCCTTTCTAGGCTAACTGTGGACAGTAAAACGATGTCTGAATTTACACTTTTGAATGAATTAGTAATTCGTCTAAGTAAAGTGCAACAGTCGTCCTTTTTTCAGCTTCTCACCCATCGGTCAATTGTGTTGAAACAGCTGGCCGCTGTGATTGGCCTCACCGTTTCAGTGTGACTGTCGACAGCATAGCCTGAAGCCGCGACAACATTTTTTCCGTTATCTCAAGAGACTGACCGCAGCCATTTACATGGAAATCCAGGTAACAGGACATGCTTGCAGGTGTGGTGTTTCCTTCCTTTTTATGGTCGTTGGTGAGGTTCAATTGTGCATGTAATTCAGGGGTTGACTACTTAAGCCGTTTACAGGGTTGTGACTTGAAGGCCGAGGGCCTTTGAGCCTTATCACGAATCCTGCATGAGTTGTGGATGCATCGGTTATGAACTAGGTTTTGTTGACACAACCTGACAGTGCGGCCATGTTTCCTGGACGGTTTCCCAACGTCCCTGACACGATGTGGAACTTTGGATGGAATCCACAACCGATGGGACTTCCAGGTCAATTTTGTGGAGGTGATTTGATGAACCAACAGTCACAAGCTCAGTCTCAAGCTCAGACTCAGGCGCAACTTGCAGCTCTTAGGGAGCAAAATTCAATCCTGAATCAACAACTTGCGTCACAAGCTCAATCTCATATCCAGCATCTCCAACAGCTTCTTCCTTTCCATCAACCTACATCCACTCCACATCCACCTCAGTCCACACCATCAGCGCCAGAACCACCAACACCGGTGGCACCTCAATCCACACCACCTGGATCCAGTGTTTCCTTTAATCCAGAGGAGATGATGCAGCAGATGAAGGATACGGTCGAATCCAGTATGCAGGCTTTTGTGGACAAGAACCAAGAGCGCAACAAGAGTCATCCTCCACTCCCTGCACAGCCACCAATTCCAATCTCTCCGCCCATTCCCAGCCATCCTCCTCCACCAGATGAATTCCCACCACCACAACAACGTTCCCACCGTCGCTCCTGCTCTCATCGTCATCGTTCAGGTCCCAGAATACCTGACAAACGTCCGATCTCCGTTCCACGCAGTCCACGTCGACAAAGATCCTCCAGACGAATACATCGTTCATCTCGACCACGCTCTTCACCCCGAAGACGTCGCTCCACGTCGAGAAATGTTTCGAGACGTCCAAGCAGAGCTGCATCGATCACATTACGGTCAGCCTCTCCACGTCGTCGAGAAGTACCACATGGAGGAGATGATGATCATTCACTTCATGAACCCAGTCACAGGCCAGCCAGTCTTCACCCTGCAACGTGGGAACACCACCCACAACCATCTTCTCACACTGAGCATCCCCAGTCCAACTACCACCACTACGACCATCACTCCACCAACAAGTGGAAATCCTGGGGCCAATGGAAGGACTATCCCAAGTCTTCCTACACATCCTACCCATCTGGTTGGATCTGTATGTGTAAAAAATCTGACTTCAAACAATGGAACTTCTACTTTTGTGCTTACCTTCCTGGTTTCGTCAGCATTATTTCAAGTTATTCCAAGCAAGGGGAATCGAGAGCCGGGGGACTGATCCAGCTGGACAGTCAACCGAATGCCTCCCGTCGGTGGGTATGGTAAGGGTTGAGCCACCTGCTCCCCGAAGACCTCCACCAGAAACAAAGGAGCTGAATGAACAAGACGGTGAGAGCCGGGGGACTGATCCAGCTGGACAGTCAACCGAATGCCTCCCGTCGGTGGGTATGGTAAGGGTCGAGCTGTCTGCTCCCCGGCGACCTCCACCAGAAACAAAGGAGCTGAATGAACAAGACGGTGAGAGCCGGGGGACTGATCCTGCTGGACAGTCAAACGAATGCCTCCCGTCGGTGGGTATGGTAAGGGTCGAGCTGTCTGCTCCCCGGCGACCTCCACCAAAGGATGAACAAGACGGTGAGAGCCGGGGGACTGATCCTGCTGGACAGTCAACCGAATGCCTCCCGTCGGTGGGTATGGTAAGGGTTGAGCCATCTGCTCCCCGGCGACCTCCGCCAGAAGAAAGAGAACAAAATAGAGAGGGACCAGCTGAGGTCCAGGAGGAAGAAAGAAGAATTGATGGCCCAGATCTGCTGTTGGGGACTCAACTCCCACAGGATGCCACAACCACCAGCTAATAGTCCAGCACCTGTGAATCCACCAACTGTTGCAGTTCCGCCTGCTGTTGCCACAACCACCAGCTAACAGTCCACACCTGTGAATCCACCAACTGCTGTTGGGGATTTAACTCCCACATGTTGCGACAACCGCCAGCTAATAGTCCAGCACCTGTGAATCCACCTACTGTTGCAGTTCCGACTGCTGTCGGAGATTCAACTCCCACGTGATGCCGCAACCACCAGCTAACAGTCCAGCACCTGCGAATCCACCAACTGTTACAGCGTCAACTGCCGATGGCCACAACCACCAGCTAACAATCCAGCACCTCTGAATCCACCAACTGCCGTTGGGGATTCAACTCCCACATGATACCACAACCACCAGCTAACAGCCCAGCACCGGTAAATCCACCAGCTTTTGCAGTTCCGACTGCGCAGCCACCAGCTAACAGTCCAGCACCTGTGAATCCACCAACTGCTGTTGGGGACTCAACTCCCACAGGGTGCCACAACCACCAGCTAACAGTCCAGCACCTGTGAATCCACCAACTGTTGCAGTTCCGACTGCTGTTGCCACAACCACCAGCTAACAGTTCAGCACCTGTGAATCCACCAGCTGCTGTTGGGGATTTAACTCCCACATGATGCCACAACCACCAGCTAACAGTCCAGCACCTGTGAATCCACCAACTGTTGCAGTTCCGACTGCTGATGCCACAACCACCAGCTAACCGTTCAGCACCTGTGAATCCACCAAGGGATCAACTCCCACATGATGCCACAACCACCAGCTAACAGTCTTGCACCTGCGAATCCACCAACTGCTGGGGGATTCAACTCTCACAGGATACCACAATACCACAACCACCAGCTAACAGTCCAGCACCTGTGAATCCACCAACTGCTGTTGGGGATTCAACTCCCACATGATGCCACAAACACCAGCTAACAGTCCAGCTCTTGTGAATCCACCAGCCGTTGCGGTCCCGACTGCTGTTGCCACAGCCACGTGCTAACAGTCCAGCACCTGTGAATCCACCAACTGCCGTTGGGGATTCAACTCCCACATGATACCACAAACACCACCTAACAGTCCAGCACCGGTGAATCCACCAGCTTTTGCAGTTCCGACTGCTGATGCCACAAACACCAGCTAACAGTCCAGCACCTGTGAATCCACCAACTGCTGTTGGGGATTCAACTCCCACAGGATGCCGCAACCGCCAGCTAACAGTCCAGCAGCCAGCACCTGTGAATCCACCAACTGTTGCAGTTCCGACGGCTGTTGCCACAACCACCAGCTAACAGTCTAGCACCTGTGAATCCACCAACTGCTGTTGGGGATTCAACTCCCACATGATGCCACTACCGCCAGCTAACAGTCCAGCACCTGTGAATCCACCAACTGTTGCAGTTCCGACTGCTGATGCCACAACCACCAGCTAACCGTCCAGCACCTGTGAATCCACCAACTGCTGTTGGGGACTCAACTCTCACAGGATGCCACAACCACCAGCTAACAGTCCAGCACCTGTGAATCCACCAACTGCTGTTGGGGATTCAACTCCCACAGGATACCACAATACCACAACCACCAGCTAACAGTCCAGCACCTGTGAATCCACCAACTGTTGCAGTTCCGACTGCTGTTGCCACAACCACCAGCTAACAGTCTAGAGTCTAGCACCTGTGAATCCACCAACTGCTGTTGGGGATTCAACTCCCACATGATGCCACAACCACCAGCTAACAGTCCAGCACCTGTGAATCCACCAACTGTTGCAGTTCCGACCGCTGATGCCACAACCACCAGCTAATCGTCCAGCACCTGT